AAGTGTGGCTGAAATAATAACAATGAGTCCACAGCAGATATTAACTGTACATGTCTGTTCTGCCACTCTACATGCATGTAGAGTATTATCATGCATTGTTGAGTATATCAGTGTCTTGGCCATTTCTGTATCAAAATATTTGCACGGCAAAAGTTAAAGAGGCTATATTTGGGATTTCCCTTGTCCTGTAGTGTGTTATAAAGGTTTGTGTGCATGTCAATGGTCTGCAAAGGATAAAATGCCCCCCCCCCCCTGCCTGAAATGCCTCCATTGGACTCCTTTGTTTACTTCCAGAACATAGTGACATCAGTGTAATACTCGCTCTCCTATTGGCTAGCGCTCCAACACATTGTACGTGATAGGCTAAGCGGCGGGACATCTCTAAGCCGTTGACCAATCACAACAGAGCCGGCCAGCTAACCAATCAGAGCAGACTGGACTCTGGTTTCAGACAGAGGGTGAAAACAGGTGCTGCAGCATGAGAAAAATAAAGAGCTTTTTGAACATTAGAGCATGGAGACATGTAGAGACACTACATACTGATATACACCTGAACATCAGCAGGAGAGGACTCTTTAAAGTAGAGACACTACATACTGATATACACCTGAACATCAGCAGGAGAGGACTCTTTAAAGTAGAGACACTAAATACTGATATACACCAGAACATCAGCAGGAGAGGACTCTTTAAAGTAGAGACACTACATACTGATATACACCTGAACATCAGCAGGAGAGGACTCTTTAAAGTAGAGACACTACATACTGATATACACCAGAACATCAGCAGGAGAGGACTCTTTAAAGTAGAGACACTACATACTGATATACACCTGAACATCAGCAGGAGAGGACTCTTTAAAGTAGAGACACTACATACTGATATACACCTGAACCTCAGCAGGAGAGGACTCTTTAAAGTAGAGACACTACATACTGATATACACCAGAACATCAGCAGGAGAGGACTCTTTAAAGTAGAGACACTACATACTGATATACACCTGAACATCAGCAGCAGAGGACTCTTTAAAGTAGAGACACTACATACTGATATACACCTGAACATCAGCAGGAGAGGACTCTTTAAAGTAGAGACACTAAATACTGATATACACCATTAACATCAGCAGGAGAGGACTCTTTAAGTAGAGACACTACATACTGATATACACCTGAACATCAGCAGGAGAGGACTCTTTAAAGTAGAGACACTACATACTGATATACACCAGAACATCAGCAGGAGAGGACTCTTTAAAGTAGAGACACTACATACTGATATACACCTGAACATCAGCAGGAGAGGACTCTTTAAAGTAGAGACAACTACATACTGATATACACCTGAACATCAGCAGGAGAGGACTCTTTAAAGTAGAGACACTACATACTGATATACACCAGAACATCAGCAGGAGAGGACTCTTTAAAGTAGAGACACTACATACTGATATACACCTGAACATCAGCAGGAGAGGACTCTTTAAAGTAGAGACACTACATACTGATATACACCTGAACATCAGCAGGAGAGGACTCTTTAAAGTAGAGACACTACATACTGATATACACCTGAACATCAGCAGGAGAGGACTCTTTAAAGTAGAGACACTACATACTGATATACACCTGAACATCAGCAGGAGAGGACTCTTTAAAGTAGAGACACTACATACTGATATATAATGATATACACCTGAACATCAGCGGAAGAGGACTCTTTAAAGTAGAGACACTACATACTGATATACACCTGAACATCAGCAGGAGAGGACTCTTTAAAGTAGAGACACTACATACTGATATACACCTGAACATCAGCAGGAGAGGACTCTTTAAAGTAGAGACACTACATACTGATATACACCTGAACATCAGCAGGAGAGGACTCTTTAAAGTAGAGACACTACATACTGATATACACCTGAACATCAGCAGGAGAGAACTCTTTAAAGTAGAGACATACATACTGATATACACCTGAACATCAGCAGGAGAGGACTCTTTAAAGTAGAGACACTACATACTGATATTACACCTAACATCAGCAGAGAGGACTCTTTAAAGTAGAGACACTACATACTGATATACACCTGAACATCAGCAGGAGAGGACTCTTTAAAGTAGAGACACTACATACTGATATACACCTGAACATCAGCAGGAGAGGACTCTTTAAAGTAGAGACACTACATACTGAATATACACCTGAACATCAGCAGGAGAGGACTCTTTAAAGTAGAGACACTACATACTGATATACACCTGAACATCAGCAGGAGAGGACTCTTTAAAGTAGAGACACTACATACTGATATACACCCTGAACATCAGCAGGAGAGGACTCTTTAAAGTAGAGACACTACATACTGATATACACCTGAACATCAGCAGGAGAGGACTCTTTAAAGTAGAGACACTACATACTGATATACACCTGAACATCAGCAGGAGAGGACTCTTTAAAGTAGAGACACTACATACTGATATACACCTGAACATCAGCAGGAGAGGACTCTTTAAAGTAGAGACACTACATACTGATATACACCTAACATCAGCAGGAGAGGACTCTTTAAAGTAGAGACACTACATACTGATATACACCTGAACATCAGCAGGAGAGGACTCTTAAAGTAGAGACACTACATACTGATATACACCTGAACATCAGCAGGAGAGGACTCTTTAAAGTAGAGACACTACATACTGATATACACCTGAACATCAGCAGGAGAGGACTCTTTAAAGTAGAGACACTACATACTGATATACACCTGAACATCAGCAGGAGAGGACTCTTTAAAGTAGAGACACTACATACTGATATACACCTGAACATCAGCAGGAGAGGACTCTTTAAAGTAGAGACACTACATACTGATATACACCTGAACATCAGCAGGAGAGGACTCTTTAAAGTAGAGACACTACATACTGATATACACCTGAACATCAACAGGAGAGGACTCTTTAAAGTAGAGACACTACATACTGATATACACCTGAACATCAGCAGGAGAGGACTCTTTAAAGTAGAGACACTACATACTGATATACACCTGAACATCAGCAGGAGAGGACTCTTTAAAGTAGAGACACTACATACTGATATACACCTGAACATCAGCAGGAGAGGACTCTTTAAACTAGAGACACTACATACTGATATACACCTGAACATCAGCAGGAGAGGACTCTTTAAAGTAGAGACACTACATACTGATATACACCTGAACATCAGCAGGAGAGGACTCTTTAAAGTAGAGACACTACATACTGATATACACCTGAACATCAGCAGGAGAGGACTCTTTAAAGTAGAGACACTACATACTGATATACACCTGAACATCAGCAGGAGAGGACTCTTTAAAGTAGAGACACTACATACTGATATACACCTGAACATCAGCAGGAGAGGACTCTTTAAAGTAGAGACACTACATACTGATATACACCTGAACATCAGCAGGAGAGGACTCTTTAAAGTAGAGACACTACATACTGATATACACCTGAACATCAGCAGGAGAGGACTCTTTAAAGTAGAGACACTACATCACTGATATACACTGAACATCAGCAGGAGAGGACTCTTTAAAGTAGAGACACTACATACTGATATACACCTGAACATCAGCAGGAGAGGACTCTTTAAAGTAGAGACACTACATTCTGATATACACCTGAACATCAGAAGAATAGATATCTTTAATATGTAAATATGATATCTTTGTCCAAAAGTTGTTGTTTTTTCTTGATTCTCTTTAATCACTTAAACTGCCCTGATAATAACATCATATCACGTGGCAGCCTCCCCTGATGGAAGTTTGAAGCTGGTTTAATGACAGATTTAAGTGAAGCCATTACATCTTGCCCATTGCTTTCTTTGGATAATATCTGAAATGTGATGATTCTAAATTATACTTATTTGCTTTGCTCAGGAAATAAATAATTCCCATTAGACAATGCTGACTGACGAGTTAAATGTCGCCAACCGTGAAATCATATTGTGCAATTAAATGAAATGAAAATAAAACATCCCGGGCGTCTGCGGCCGCACTGTTTTGAGCTGACAAGTCTTTTTGATGTACCTTGTCATCTACAGTATTTGCACACTATCACAATGTCCTGAACATTATAATATATGATATTTAGCAGTGCAGCAGGAAGAAGAAATAAACCCACTAGTTGAATGTCCTTTCATCACTGCTGAAAACACACTGAAGCTTCAAGAACCAGTCAGACAACATGTGTGCAATCAACACACTTGACACTTACATCTCATTACGTTGAATAAAGGCTATCTTTTATGGCTATTGGCTTATGTTAATAGTTCAGTGTTGCCTAACATCTCTTTCTTGAGGCTTAGCCCACAACTAGAGAAGCAGAAATCGTCTCTGAGCTCGGTTTTCTTTTCAAGGCTTTTTTAATCTATCTAAAGGCTTGCAGTGTTCAATGAAATGATGGAGGAAGAGGAGGAAGAGGAAGAGGAGGAGGAGGAGGAGGAGGAGGAGGAGGAGGAGGGGGAGGAGGAGGAGGAGGAAAGCGATACGAGATGACGTGCTCCAGCACAAAACGCATCTTGACTCTTTATCTGAGGCTAAGCATCACTGAGCAGTCGCATTAGGGCTATCAAATCAACAATGTGTACCTATCTACACCGTAGCTACACATGACAATACAAGCCTTGAATCTTGAATCACCATCCTCATCATCACCATCCTCATCATCACCATCCTCATCATCACCTTCATCATCACTACCCCAACCCATCAGAGACTTTTCCTCCCTCACCGCATTCAAAAAATCACTCAAAACCCAAAACGCTGCATTCAACCTCAGACAATCACCCCACCCCCCCTCTTTTCTGTTTTCGTTTGTCTCTCTTCGTCTTCGTTTTTAGTTCTCTGTCAAAGCTTCTTTGAGTTTTTAGAAAAGCGCTATATAAGTGTCATGTATCATCATCATCATCCTCATGATAGCCCTCACCTTGCCAGCAGGCGCCCACTGTGAGCTGCATGTCGATCTGAGAGGGGTGGATGGGCCAATCGTCGGTCACCAGGTAGGGGTCGTAGGTCACTCCGTCCACGTAGAGCGTGACCACCGGGAACTCCACGTTGATGACGTAGTAATGCCACTCCTTGTCACAGATCTGTTAGAGACAGTGAGAGTGTCATCAGAATCAGAATACCTTTATTATTATTATTTATTACAAAGACAGCTTAATGTTGACTAAGAAGCATGCATAAAGTATGTTGAAATAAGGTAGCAAATACACATCCTGTAACAGTTCTGAGGATTTAGCAGCCAGGTATATGTTGCACAGTTATTAACGGCATATATATATATATGGCACATAAAGGGATATGTGCTAAACATGTCATATTATGTGTAGGACTAACGGACATCATGTGACCCATTTACCATACTCCGTAATATTATTGCACATTCCTCGATATATTTCATTAAAGGCTACCTCTTTTCTAAATGCACAGCTCTTCCACTTTTCATTCTGATAAACTAACCATATTTTTCACAGTTAGTGGTCGTGCTCTTATTATCTTCTTGTTAATCTTTAAATGATTGTCTAAATATTTGTTATAATAGTTCTGTATTTTGGTTATTTTGTTTACAACGTTGTTCCTCTTACAGTGTTTATTGATACACTAAAGCAAATTCCTTGAATGTGTTAATCTACTTGGAAATAAATCACATTCTAATTCTGATACGATTTTAGAAATACATGTACAGTTTCTTGCTGAGAGGTTAATTGGAAAGATTGATACCACTGTGTAAAGTCAGTAAAAGCTAGAGTCAGCAGTTGATTAGCTTAGCTTAGCATAACAAGAAGCACACACACACAGACAGGTAGAACAACATTGGATTGTCACACAGGATTCCTCTGCTTGTGAAAAAACAGGAGTATTTTTACATGAATTCTTGGCTTGTGAAGTTTAAAAGCAGACTTGTTTCCCTTGTGCTTGACGCTCACTCAAATCCATTACCACATTAGCTGTTGAACTCATTCCCAAACAGTGCTTGACTGTGCCACTCTTCAGCATGCTTGACCATTTACCCTGCCTCGCTTTGCATTTCAATCGTCTGCACAAGCCTCCTCGTGTCTGTCTGTCTGTCTGTCTCTGAGTGTCTGTCTCTGAGTGTCTGTCTGTCTGTCTCTGAGTATCCGTCTGTCTGTTTCCGAGTATATGTCTGTCTGTCCGTCTGTCTGTCTGTCTCTGAGTGTCTGTCTGTCTGTCTCTGAGTGTCTGTCTGTCTGTCTCTGAGTGTCTGTCTGTCTGTCTCTGAGTATCCGTCTGTCTGTTTCCGAGTATATGTCTGTCTGTCCGTCTGTCTGTCTGTCTCTGAGTGTCTGTCTGTCTGTCTCTGAGTATCTGTCTGTCTGTCTCTGAGTGTCTGTCTGTCTCTGAGTGTCTGTCTGTCTCTGAGTGTCTGTCTGTCTGTCTCTGAGTATCTGTCTGTCTGTCTCTGAGTGTCTGTCTGTCTCTGAGTGTCTGTCTGTCTGTCTCTGAGTATATGTCTGTCTGTCTCTGAGTGTCTGTCTGTCTGTCTCTGAGTATATATGTCTGTCTCTGAGTGTCTGTCTGTCTGTCTCTGAGTATATGTCTGTCTGTCTCTGAGTGTCTGTCTGTCTGTCTCTGAGTGTCTGTCTCTGAGTATATGTCTGTCTGTCTCTGAGTATATATGTCTCTCCTCCCGCTGCTTCAGGCTGTGCTTTACCTCAGCAGCGCTCATTGGGCCTCACCTCTTCCTCTCAGCTCCACTGATATAACCTGGTGCAGCCGTTTGAACACTTAGCCTCGCGTCACCTCCCTCTCTAATGAAGAGCGCTCCACAGCCAGCTTATTAACACCGTGCTAGCGCAGCAGATGGGGCTCCCAATCAATCTGGTTCATTTTCGCTGCTATTGAGGTGCGAGATACAACATCTGGCCTATTGGTGATCACCCCGCACAGCTGCTCGACACATATGCAGCGTGTCGATGTGCTGGGTCGGTGCTCAGAATCAATGTGGGGATAATCTGATTGTGGATCTGATGCTGCTGCAGATGTGATTGATACTGTTGGGACTGACTTTGATGGGCTAGTTAGGATGTTAGGACACGAATAAACACGCTCACAAGGGAGCCCTGAACCTGCAGAGCCTACGCTTTGTGTATATAAGTTCTGATATGAAGTGTCGGGAACATATTGAACAGCACATTCCTGCTCTTTCCCGCCTGTTGCATTCTCCAATGGTGTTTTTCAATCTGGTTAAATCCCATTACTCATGTGCCAAGTGTAATACCTTTGCATGAACACACACTAATCCCTCTGACATTTACACATTCAGACTGTCTCCTCCCATGCACCAACGCTTCTTCCCCACTTTTTGCAGTTCAGTATTTCAAAGAGAGCGCGGCCCCCCATGTGGGATCTGAGAGCCTAGTGGGTGACTTCCTCATGAGTTCTTCAAAGGGGAGACGGCGAGGCGCTCCTGCCCAGGAGGAGGCTCACTCTGTCGGGCCGGGAACTCAGTCTGAGATCTCTCTCAGGAATTAAAAGGGAAGGGGAAATATGAAGCCACACATGTCAGTGCTACGTTGTAACGCAGATGAAGACGTTGGATAGGGTAACGGCCCGTCCACACAGCGGCGTGCGTTGAAGCTTCCAACGCTTCTGCCCATTCACTTTGAATGGGGTGACGTCACTTTTAGCCGAACTGCATTTTGGGAAGCGACGTGGAGCGTTGCTGGCGTAGCTGGCGTCAAAAGTTGAGCAATGTTCAACTTTTGACGCCTCGACGGAGGCGTCAGCCAATGAAATCCCGTTTATGCAAATCTGCCAGTACAATCGCTAGCCAATCACACCGCGTGTATGCTGGGAGAGACTACGCAGGTCATTTCCTCATATTCAAAAAAATGGGAGGGAAAATTAATTATAGCGGTAGTGAATCACCCGGTGCTGTATGATCAGTCTCTGTTGATCTACCGGGATACAAACCGGAGGAGCGAGGCATGGAGGGAGGTGGCAGAGACAGTGGGTGAAACTGGTAGGTTTTCGCCTGTTTGGGGATTTTATATCCAGTTTACTTCGTTTTAACATTGCTATTGCTTTGTATGTCGGGGGCGGGAGATTCAGGTGATTGATTGTTGGTCGCGTTGCTCGCAAAAAATCCCCAAGCTTCAGATACGCCCACCTCCAAGCGTCAACGCACGCTGCTGTGTGGACGCTGCGTAAGACTGACATGGGTACAAGAGGAGAGATTTACATATCATGATGTCAAGTTCTTCTTTGGTGGATTTGATTCTCAGCTTTTTATATTGCAACACATTGGGCAATAGAGAGGTATTTGTAGCAAGGGGGTTTTCCCATTTGATTTTGGAATATTGCAGAAAATAAGCTCTGTGGCCAACACATTCATTATCAGCACGTTTTGTTCAGCAAGATAATCTCCACTTATTGACACCATTTTGTGATTTTTTGAAGCGCAAATGCAATCGCCAGAAGTGACAAGCTTACGTTAGAAACAAACTACATCATGGTTGCATGGCAGCGCATCACAACCGCTCACATGTGGTCTTTTGTCGGTGTGAAGACGTTCAGTAGTCCCATTTGCAGTGATCACTTGCCGCCATTTTGATGACACATTAATGACATTCAGGAGTGGGGTATTTACTAATGTATTTTATTTTGGGGAACAAAACGTGAACATATCTTAAAGGTGCGGTAGGTACTTTTGGAGAAACCAGCTCGAGTGCGCTAGAATTTGAAAATACACAACCGGAAAAAATCTGCCACTTCCTTACAGAGCCCCTCCTCCAACACACAGGAACGCGCACATGACCAATGAGGGCACGAGATCAGTTTGTGCCCAGATTGGTCGTGCTTTTTAAAGCGCCACGGCTTCCACAGATGAGGATTTTATTATGGATTTTTTGTCAAAGCACTTCAGATATTCATTGCTATCGGGATGTTAAGAGCATTCCATGGAATATAACAAAAAGTGTATCTCGTGCCGGTTTCTCAAACTTACCTACCCCACCGTTAAACTTACATTTTATTTCAGGCTTCTAACCACAACGCGTTCAAAGGAACATTGACTTGGAAAGGAGGGAACTGGAAGCGAAAATGCTCCGGGATTTAAGACTCGTTTCTGCACTACTCTAAGAGTTATTTATTGAAGGTAAGGTCAGGTTAAGGTCCATACGGTCTGAAACCGATCAACTGGCAATGTAAGCAATGTACTGCCCTGATAACTCTGACAATAAGTCTGAGAAATCCATATCTGAAAGATTTTGGAAACAGAGACACTTTTAAAAGTTCAGTTTTGTTGATTTCAGATCCCACAGAAACCCAGACGTCCAAGAGCATGACTGTATCTTGTTTGATTAAATGATAACGTGCAACAGATACGGTTCATGGGTTAGCAAGATGAAATGTTGAGCAGAAAAGTCATTTTCTTCAGAGTACACATTTTTATCTTTTACCTTTATGATTAAAAAAAAAATCTCTCAGGACTTCGGTTGCAAGATATACGATTCACCTTGTGCACAAAAGATATGGGTCTTGTGGGAAGGAGATAACAAAAAAAGACCACCTTGATTTCCTTTCCAAGAACTCAGTAGCTTCACTTCCATCATCAGTTGTTTCTGATGCATTTAAACAAGATCTAAAGATTGCAAAGAACGCAGTTTGGACAATTTAATGATCGTGAGCTGGATGGAAACTTCCCGACCACTGAGGAGTCGAGTGCAGTTGATGGAGGTTGCACGAAACTTTGCCATCTTGTCAGAAAATATGATAAGAGCTTGAGAGAACAGGTGCACTGCTATGCATGGGAAGACACCAGCTGGACAGAGACACTTTGTAGTGTGTGTGTGTGTGTGTGTGTGTGTGTGTGTGTGTGTGTGTGTGTGTGTGTGTGTGTGTGTGTGTGTGTGTGTGTGTGTGTGTGTGTGTGTGTGTGTGTGTGTGTGTGTGTGTGTGTGTGTGTGTGTGTGTGTGTGTGTGTGTGTGTGTGTGTGTGTGTGTGTGTGTGTGTGTGAATCAGTGTCTCAGAGAACCATCTACTATGGCACAAGCTCAGAGATGGAAAAAGTACACACATCCTTTACTCAAGTATAAGTACTGATACTCGTGTTCAAAAATACTC